TTAAAACATCGAATGCCAATCGAATACATCATCATCACCCGATGGACAGTAAATATATATTTTCAAAGTTTTAGAATTTATTCGAATATCTTATAACATATTATTGCATAGAGGTACTCTTCTTATTTTTTAAACATTATTCCAAGAATCGCGAGACCCGTATACGCGCGTTTGTAGAATATAAAACAAAAAACTAATAATAATAAAGAAGAACGTTGGAATAAAACCTGCAGCTGCACAACAAAGTCGGGACGTCACCCCAAAATAGACTCGGTAGAAAGTCGGGTGCACACACACACATGTATAATATGCACACGTGTGTGTGTGTTGAATCGCGTCGTAATAGTGTGTATATATGTGACTATATTGACTACGTTGAACGGCGTCGGTTAAAGTGAGATTGTTATCGGTAACGAGATTTTGCCGGGCGGCCGAAAAAAAGAATGTAAAAGGAACGATAAAAAATAAAAGGAAATGTGAGAAATACGTTGGACAGAGATAGAACGATAAACGTGAGGGGCGGAGGAGTGGCCGAGAGGAGTTTGGCGATGGGCATAGAAGCCGATGGTGAATAAAAAGGGCTCGCAGCGGYGGCACGCGCAATACCCGTATAGATACGCGTAGGACGGGAAAACCGCGCGCGGCGTCAGGTGGGCCGAGTTTGCCGCGGTGGACGGGTGGTCGGGTGGTCGGGCGGACGGCTGGAGGACGAGGGGACAGATACGCCCCAAAAGTATAAACGCACACGAGTCGTCGTAATTTGATTAGCAGGTACCTACTGACTGGCGGCGCGTGATGTGAGTTCGTGCGCGCGCGTTCGTCGCGGATCGGTGAGCGGGGCGGAGGGGTGGGGGAGGTTAAAGTTTGGCAGAAGGTTTACTAAAATCAATCTACTCGCCGCCGCTTTCGCGAAGTGTTTTCCCGCGGCGGTGGTTATATACCGACAGCAGTGCAGGCTCTCCAAAGACTCACCGAAGAGCGCACCGCACACTCACGCGTGTTTATGTATGGCGGCGGTTTACGGGTGCGGCGGCGGCGGCGGTGACGAGAGGTTTTCGAGGGACGCGATGAGGTTCGACTGTAGCGTGTGTGCGGCGCGAGGGATTATATATTAAAGTGGCCGCCTACTCGCCCGCCGCACCGACCGCGGCCACTCGAACAAAGCTGCTTACGAAAATATTATTTCAGTTCACTCTAAATGGATTCGGACAGACTCTCATCTGTACTGCAACTGTTATATACCACCGCCGCCGCCACCACCGCATCGTATATAGGTACCTCCACTGGTGGTGTACATACACCCCGCACACAAACGCACAGGTTATTTCTCTACCCTACCCCCATAGCGCCCATAACACAACACACTTCTTCGTCCGATCTCTTGACAGAACCTTTCGTCTCGGTTTATTATACGTATATTACGTATTTACTCTCTGCGAAACCACGACCAACCACCTCCGACCGCCGCCTTGCATTTATCTACTTCCTTCAGTTTTCCACCGCAGAAGGTATATATATATATATAATACTCAACCACTCGAAACGTTTTGTCATCGTGGGTATACCGTATATATGTATATAGGTACATATTGTTACAAGTGCAGACCGGCGTGGTGAAGTTTCGACGACTTTCTTCGAGACCTTATGTATTGCGTATATATATATATTATATTGTCGACGAACGAAAACATTTTCATTAAAACCCAATATACGAATACAAAACAAACACGTGCGAGTGCACGCCTAGTTGCTTTTCGATTAAAACTATAATACACTTTTTTTGTTCTCCATATATAGGTACCAACATATCTTACGTATATGTCGGTGCAATCAATTTTCGTTTTCATCGCATTAAAAATTTGTCCGGCACAACGCTAAAATTAATATCGTTACTGACATTATTGTTATTTTTTCAAATTCATATAATATGGACAAACTTGCAGGCTCCTAAAATACAGGCGCGCCCGTCATAAAATATCATCCTAATCAATTTCAGATTATTATACCGTATTATGGTATATTATTCCTATTATTTATCCTACTATTATTGTAAAATGATTATTTAAAGAACGTTAATATTAAACACGTTTAGGAATCGTTTTATTCGATATTATTCGAATAATGAGATCTTAGATCATTTTACCCACCCATCTCCAAAGGCAAAAAAAAAACTTCAAAATCATAAAAATGCACCATTTACGGTATTTTGTATTTCAAYGTAGTTTTTGCAGGTTTTTCAATAGACATATAGCCTATATTCGATTCAGCACATTATAGCACGTAACATATTATATAAAATTAAAAAAAATTTAAACAAAATTGTACTAATTAGGTGTAACTTGATCGAATGAGAACGCATTCTCTCGTACAATTTCCAATAGGTATCCTGAGGAAGCGCAGAAATATCAACGTAAATTTTTAAATTAACTTTAAACGCGAAGATATGTACCAATATTATGGTAGGTTAATTTAATACTGCAATGATAATAATAATTATACATTGCGAGAAACCAGATTCATCCGTGTAAAGGTATGCAGCGAATATCATYAAATATACAGTGTCGGAAATCGCTTTATTTAAATTTCGACGGCATATAAGRTATATACGGTTTAATACGGGAAAACCGGATATATTAAATTCTACGCGATCGCAGTATACCTATTATACTTCCGTCCGCCGATTCCCGCGGCACACGACGTATAATAATAATAATATAATCCCCACGAATGAATTTCACGGATAATCCCGGCGAACAAACTTCCCCGCGGCAGTGGTTTAACACCAACACACAGTGTGTGTACGTGTACGTGGCCCGGCTGCAGTGTTATGGTACCACACCGATTACAGTGATAATACTTGGCTTTACTTCTAAACTGTTTGATACCGTATAATATACTTAAACGATCGTTAAACGTACACCGCCTATACCGTTTAGTACCGTCAACCGCACTATGTATATACCTTCATCACGCCGCCTCGCGCTTCTTTCWCCACTCGGCGCCACCGGAAAGAGCAAATTTATTTCTCGGCCTACGCTCGTCGCAGAATACGCGCACAACGTGCAGTCGCGTCTTGAAAGATACGGTCACGCGAATAAAAATCCTCGTGTTAAGGACACACATCAAATTATTCGAATTGGATTAGAAATGTAAAAAATTGCTTTCGATTTTTGCAGGTTTCACAAAAAATATAGGAATCTCTGTTCAAATATTTACATATCATGTTCAATTCCGTGTTGAGACGTTTCCAGTGTACCTACACTGATAGCAAAAATTTATGATTTYTCTCTCTGCAGTAATCTGTTTATTTGTCACTGAAATTTATAATTTATTTATACAATTATGTAGACACTAGTAAAATAGTTTTATACTGAAAGCTTATAAAACATTTTTTTTTTCATAAGTGTAAGGAAAATTAATAAATCAAAAAAAAATTATTATTTAAATGCATATAAGTTGAATACATTTGTAGCTAGGAAAGTGTCTTTTTAGACGTAAATAAAAACAAGTAAACAACTTATATGAGCCCTAATTATGAAAAATTAAAAAATAGACATAAAATCTCACCATCGCTTCTTGTTTATGCAAGTTATTTTAATCGTATTGGCATATTATTTTATTGTTATTTGAATCTTTAGTCAGTAGTGATTGGATAGTTTAAATTGTATCGGCCATACTATAAAATATAACTATAATAAACTTGAATGGGTATGTTAGCTGATTGGCTGAAGTCTAAAGAGTTATTGTTAGCACAAACCCACTGTTAAATTTAATATCAGACAAGCGTCAGACAAGTAAAACAATTAATATATATACACAGAAGTACGAAACACTAAAAGATACCTATATCGACCATCAACTATCAAGCACATAAAAACCGAATGCGTATTACTCGCAAAGTCTAAATCGATCGAGTGACAGTCGTTTTCAGTAAGTCTTTATTAACTCAATAAAAAAAAGACAAATGTCGCATTAAAATAGAATCGTCCATTACAAAGTARTCGCAGGTTCGATTTGGAGCAATCTCATAATAAATTACAGACGCCAGATGAAATCTCGTGTGGATGATGGATTTTATATGTTTAAGCGCGCATGATGTGTTATCTATATATTATGTGTCATGTGTGGTTGAAAAAAAATCTAATTAAATTTATTTCGTTGTATTATTTTTATAATAGTTTGTATTGGCGTACCATATAATGATATAAATGAGTGTCTATATAGGTAGTATAGTCGAGTTACACACAGCCGAGGACAAAAACGACGGGGTGTTTTCAACTAGTTTTTTTTTTCTTCAACCTTAAAATAAATTTGTATTCTTCTTAATTCATTTTTTAATCAACTGAATTTGTATAAGGACCCACTTTCGGGAGATTAAAAAGAAAAAATTCCGACCCGAACATGCGTCGGTCAAGTACGGAGGGAACTTTTTTTTTAGAATTACTGGAGATTTGCCCTCTTGTTTAATTTCCTTTATTTTTTTTCCACGTTCCCCTCAGAGAGTATATATGTATACCTACCTATACATATATTTATTTTTTTTAATTCTAGCAGTTTTTTTCCCTCTCGTTTTAATTGGATGTGTAAAGAGAACCCTCGTGACAGTAAAATGCGAACACTCTAATAAAAATAAAAAACAAAAAAAAATTATACATATTCTTTTAAACATTAAATTAATAAATTACTTTTTGAACAATAAAATCTATGGTCTTTGAATCTTTGATCCATTTAGAGCCCAATTTATTCATACCAAATCCATTTAATTGATTTATTTCTTAGGTATTTTATCGTTAAAAAAATACTTATTTTATTTTAGGTTCACTCGTTACAATAATATACTATAGTTATCTTGAACACCAAGAAAATACAACATTACCAAAGGCTCATGAAATTACTATTTGTTTTTGAATTTTATTCAACATTGATAATTTATCATTCAACTAATAAATATATATATATATCATAATAATAATTCGTATATTATGTTATTATTCGTAATCTCATTTAGGATATTGGCCTAATAAGATGAACATTTATAATGTTAGTTTTATAATTGGCCTCCTAAAAATTACATACTATGCATAGKTAGGTCGTAGKTGATAAATAATTTAATTTTAATATTAAGCTGCTCATGATTCAATTAGTCACAGTTTAGGCACCTATATACATAAACTAATCTACAAGCAAAATCATTGAAGGACTGTAAAAAAGGAATGTATTTTTATATGAACTTTTATATAGATGTACCTACATTAAAATAATTGTTATTTGTTGTTATTAATTCTATAAAAACAAAATAATTTAAAACAATTGAAAAATGTAGGTACTAGGTTAGGTTAATTTAGTTAGATTTATTTAAAAATAAAGAATGCTAGAAATGTTGTGGTATACCTATTTTACGATGTTTACATTCTATTAATAGGGTATGTAAGACAATCARTTTCATTTGAAATTGTTATTTAGTTGTTTAAATATTCAGAAGTCAAGTCCGTGTTTCACAAACCTTTTTAGCTTATACCATTCCGTGCTCGTTTATACAAAAAAGGCAAACGGAATATGATTAAGAGTTGTTATTATTTATTTATATATAAATAGATTATTGAAATGTTTACTTATATGTCTGTATAAAAACATAATATTTTGGGTTGTTAAATAACCTTGAAAAGACTTCTTCATATATTTAAATAATATAATATCCTATTACCTACCTGGCTACCTACGTATTACCAGTTTACAAATGTAGGGCATCATAATAGGTATATCATTGCGTGTACCGATAATATTATATAGGTACCCACGTGGAAACACGCTTGGATGTTTTTTTTTTTTAAATAATGCCAGTCATGTAGTAGGTATACATAATAATATGCATATAATTTGGGGTGTTTGTTTGCTTATGCACAATGTAAACACACACACACTTCTGCTGTAACTATAAAAAGTGTATAAATTATTTATCTATTTTGGCTATAAAACGGAAATAAATAATATTTTTTATAGAAATATTATACAAAACATAAAAAATTACTATTTTTATCCTTTTATTATACCTAGTTCATTATAATCTTGCAAATAAAACTATATCGGGTTTATATATCGTTGTCTAGCTATAGCTGATATTCGTAACTATTATTTATAAGATTTATAAAGAACAAAAACTGAAAAACAATTCAATATAAATACATCTCTTTTATGCATAAATAAAGAAAGAAAAAACGATTCATACTTAAAAACAAGTCTACWGCAATATTCCACCGAAATTCAAACCGATTATTACTGTTACTATTTACTGTTAAACGTCGGACGACCCCTAAACGAGTAATTAGCAGAATAATTCACCTGGACAAGGGACGCCGGTGATGCGGAACACTTTACGCGACGGATATTATGGTGGTGCGGTGTGGTGCAAGCGATTTAGCGGTACTCGTGAGGGGGGGGAGGTAGCAATTAATAGCGTCCGGACGATCTTTTCCGCAAGACTTATGCCCCGACAGCAGCCGTCTTGTTTAGCAATTAATCAGTATAAGTATCAACCCTCCGGTATGCCGTTTTATATATAATATAAAGCAGAGACGTTATATTCTCTCTCGGCCGTGCGTTTATCTCCATCACTCTTTCTCCGCCGTCCTATAAAATATATATGGCACGACTATAATAGCTAGCTGCTGTGCGCCGCGCCCACCACCATTACGTAATTGTTTCCAATTTACAACTCCGCCCGGTCGTCGTTTGACCGGTGACACCGCCAAGGACGCGGACAGAGGATGCAACTTTATCGTCATTGTATACACATATAAGCGCGGATAGGGAAGAGAGTTAGGAGAGAGAGAGAGAGAGAGAGAGAGAGAGAGAGCACGAAAAAGAGGGTACGAGTTGAAGAAATATAGAGCAAGTGAGAGGTTTTCAAATATTAAAGTGCGAGGGGGCGACAACATGTTAAAACACGAAATGAGCGACGGTGAAGAGGAAAATTGGAACGCAGCCGTCGTCTTGGCTTGTTGATGTAATTGACTCGTTTTAATGGCTGTCAAAGGAAAAGGATTACAGTGACGGGCCTTTAAGAACCCTCCGTTTTCTCGACAAATTAGTTGGCCAAAGTTATACCACCAAAAACGAACCCTCGCGGCRATGCGTTCTATAATACTTAATATATCTTAAAGTTTTTTTAACCGTTGCACACGCAGACCTAACCTACATTTCGACCCAACCTGATCCAACCCGATTTCGTATAATAATACGAAATCATGCTTAATGCCTTAAAAAAAAAAAAACTTAACGCCCTTACCTGTGTGTATGTACGTGTGCTTCTTCATGTCGGATTTCTGATGAAACCGTTTGCCGCAAAACTGACAGGGATATGGTCGCGTGTCTGAGTGGATCAGCAAGTGCGTAGAAAGAGTGGACGACCTTTTGAAAGTTTTACCACACTGTTTGCATTCAAACAGTTTTTCTACGTTGTGCGCCGATCGACGGCAACAGAGCCACCTGAAAAAKACCGCAACCGARTACAGTACAATAAAATAATAACGCAATAATATTTTTTAAGTTGACGTAATAATTATTTACACATGTGTAGAGAATCAGAACAATCGAGATCGCTCAATATTTATCTGAACTCTGAAAGAATATTCGTTGACAAAATATTATTATAGGCAAAAATGCGTTAGTACGTATACAAGCAGTGTTTTGGGCTTGTGATTGAACGTCAATAATTATATCCACAACACTGCAATACGGCGCCAATATTTTAAATAGTTAAAAAATCAATAAAATCCGGTGACTCAGTTAATATAGTGGTAGTTATACGTTTTATTATCGAGAGAAAAAARTATTTATTAATTAGGTAGGTTTTTATATTTAATAACACATGGATTTGAAGATTTATTTTTCTGAATGAAAATCATTTGTCCTCAAAAAATCTCTCTGCCACTTTAATATAGCCTTGCCTTAAATTTATTACGATTATTAATAATGCAGACATCCTAAGGAAACAAATTTCTTTCATCTCATCACAGCAGACATGCTATTAATCTACATCTTTATTTACTAAGACTCTGTTGTCGAAGCGACTTTTACAGATTGAGAAAAATTTTGTTACACTCTGCATTTATTTTTAAATTTTATATTTATCTTAGGTTCCTGTGTTTGTCGTTATATATTTATAAATATATAATTAAATATTCTTAATATACCTATAACGAGGAATGAGGATATAAAATATTAATATTGATTACCAATTTATGACTATGAATAGCACAACATTTTTGGACTTGAGCTTTAATATTTGTGATGGATAAATTTATGCTCTTTGCCGAGGGTAAAATCACGTAAAATTTGTTAGCGTTGTCATAAAATATTATATCTCATAATAGGACAATATTGAACGGGCATAATGGAGACAACGAGTTTATTATGTGTATAGACTTGAGTATCAATAAAATCTAGTGGAAATATAGTATACAATACATACAATATCGTTGCATCAATGTATGTTCATAATATATACGCAATAATTGCAAATTATGATTTATTTATTTAAATACTTTGTTTGTATTGTATTGTGTTTTTCAATTAATAAAAAATTCATAAAATCAGAAAAAAAAATGATTACGATAGAACGGGTCGGACACGACTAACCGGTGTTGGTTCAGGCTTATCTCGGCGCCGAATGATTTGTTGCACAGCTCGCACGAGAACGGTCTCTTGCCGTTGTGCGACCTCCGAGAGTGCACCTCCAGACCGTGCGACGTCGGGAACATTTTGTCGCACTTGATGCACGAGTAAACGTCGCCGAAGACGGAGCCCCTCATCAACATGTGGTGGTGTCGCATGTGGCCGCCGGGGTCCGTCGGTGGGGCCGCGGCCAGCGGCTGATTGGCGCCGGGCGCGAACTGTTGCCGCAGCTTCATCATGTCCTCGGCCGACGGATGCGGTATCACCACGCCACCGGAAGTCTGCTGTTGACCCGACGAGTGGAACGGATTGGCCGCCGGCGAACTCATGCCTGCAATATGGCATACGCACACGCACGTCGTTTTTAATTTTATACTCATCGCATATTATGATGATGGTTATTATACGTAGGCTACAGACATCAATGGGGAGGGGAGGAGGCATTTATCTCAAATCGCTAAGAGAGAGTAGCACATCAATTAATAATTAATAATTATAATTTATCGATAAAAATATAAAGGAAAATGTTGTTGATATAATATAGTAAACCATTTAAAACGATCAATGATGTATATTATATGATTGGATTTAGAGTATAATATATASTCTAGTATAGAYAATAGACCTAGGCATAGTTTGTAAAAAAGTTTTGAACTTATAATATAGGTGCTTATTGCCCCCCCCCCATTTAAATGTGAATTTTCGAATTGAATTTGATTTCAAACATTTTATAACAATCATCATTACATCAATCTATACTAATAATTTTTTTTTTTTTATTTAACTTATCTCCTTAATTTTCTTCTATCAAAGTTCATTATTTCTTTGTTATGTTTGCAAGTGATGCAAAAATTCACAAAATAGTTCTATTGTTTCAAAAAAAAAAAAAAAATTGGGAAACAAGATATTTTGTATAAGGAACTCAGAAAATTTGTAATAAATGTACAAATGTTTAAAAAATAGTATGCTTTTTGTGGTAGAACCAGAAAAGTGATCAAATGTTGGTATAAGTTCCACAAATCCTTTCTTATAGTATACTAATGATTATAATCAGCAAAATGTATAATATATAATCTACAAGTCGTAATTTTTCATAAATAATAACAAATGGTTTTTTTTTGAATTATTACAATTGATGAGATTTCTTATTTCTTATTTTATTTTATATTGAATGATAATTTATAATAATATTGTAGAATAGTTATTACTTGTTAGTTACACATTTTATAATGTATTTAGTTAAATGTATCTAGATAAAAAATTTTTACCTAAATAAGATAAAGATATGAATGTTTTGTCTATATTTATCTTATCTAGATAAATTTATTTTAAATTATTTTAAATTAAACTATAATTATTATGTATAATCGAAGAAATGAGATTAAATTTTTTTAAACAAAACTGAAATATTGATGAACAAATAATAAAAACGTTCAATAAATATATTGAGTATTGTTTCAAACTTGAATATATAAAAATAAGCATATGGAATCGAAAATGGTTATTTGTAAAAAAAGGAACTTCACGAGTAAAATGTATCAATCATCGCTTTAAATTAAAATTTTCATTTTAAGGTGTATAGGTGCTAGGGATTTTATAAAATAAGTTTTTAAAATTGCAATAATATGYGTCAAGTTATTCTATTAAATTGGAAACTTTCGAATAGACAACACGTACCTACTGCTGTTAAATTATATTGTGACTATTCAATTTATGAGTGAACATATTGTGGCGCCAAGGTCATTTTAAAGAACCCTTCCCCCTATTTCCTAATCAATGACCACGATAATACGTTATAGCAACCCTCATACTAATAAGTAATAACTAATCCCACACATAAATTATGGATATTGACATATTAGAGGTGCATCGTACATGCAATTTCAAACATTTTATTGGAGCAATAATAATTTATATCTATTATTTATTTATAATTGCTTATAGCTATAATATTCTCTTAATTGATACCTAATAAACTAAAAAATTACTACCAATCGACACAATAGACTAAAACTACAATTACGATTTTTACTTTTTTTGTTATTTATACACCACTGAAATGTTCAATTTTTTTGAGAATTTTTTTTTGAAGTGTCGGTAAAAAAATGTTGGAC